TTGGTCATGGGGCTTGAACTCTGAGCCTGGGCGCTGTCCCTCAGCTCTTCAGCTCAAGGCGAGCGCTCTACCACTTGAGCTACAGCGCCACTTTCGTTTTTTCCTGGTGGTTTATTGGAGATAGGAGTCTCACAGTCTCTCCTGCCTGGGCTGGCTTTGAACCGCGATCCTCAGATCTCAGCTTCCTGAGTAGCTAGGATTACAGGCGTGAGCCACCAGCGCCCGACTTTTATTACTCTTTTATAAGTGTATGCACTATATTGTGCCTGACATATGGTAAGTATTCAATACTTCCTAATCATTATATGAGTTTACAGTGAAACAGAAGCACTCAGAATTTAAAACAAACCAACCATCCAGAAACAAAGTTTTTAGTATTCAAAAACAGCCACTGCAAACTCAAAGTAAAAACCAGTAGAAATAACAAAGTATTTCTTTGATTTTAGGATTAAATGAAAAATTTATATTGTAATATCAAAAGTATTTCAGTGTACATACTATTACTTATAAAATATAGGGTAAATAGTAATAAAATATTTTATAAGACTTCATGGGAAATAAATTCTAACAGGTTGTAGTTTTTCACTGTAAATTTTGTAACATCGTATTTACTTTTTCTAGCCTCTTGACTAGGAAATAGACTTGCAGAGAAATGTATTCCTTATTGTATACTTATTGTATTTTTTTCTATTACGTTGTAATAGAAATAGGTCAACTTGCAGATAAGTGTATTCCTTCCTGTTTTCCTTACTGCTTTTTTTCTATTACAGTGTTTCTGTTGCTAGAATTCATTTCCTTTATTCAAAGGAATTAAGAATTTAAATATTTGTTGAGTCCTTGTTTTTTTTTTTTTTTTTTGGTTGTGGGGTTTGAACTCTGGGCCTGAGCGCTGTCCCTCAACTCTTCAGCTCAAGGCTAGCGCTCTACCACTTGATCTATAGCCCTACTTCCAGTTTTCTGGTGGTTTATTGGAGATAAGAGTTTCATGGAGTTTCCTGCCCGGGCTGGCTTTGAACGTCGATCCTCAGATCTCAGCCTCCTGAGTAGCTAGGATTACAGGCGTGAGCCACTGGCGCCCGGCGAGTCCTTGTTTTTTCAGAATTCTTACTATTCAGATTGATTGACCCTAATTTGTGATTTTACTTTTAAAATGGTAGTTACTATTCATATCAAATTGGAAAGGTGGCTGCTTCTGTGTGTTTAGAGAATTTGAGAGTAATTAGGTACACAAATAGTAATAGCATATGTCACAGTGTACTCAGGACAAAAGGAATCTCTTGATATTAGACTTGAGAATATGAATTATATACTAAATATGGATTATATACTATTAATTACCTTTATTTATGCAACTGTACGAAATACAAGGCCTTAGTAGTAGTAGTAGTTGTCTTCTAGTCAAATAAGTATTGGTTAAATTGAGAATAATTCTAAACAAAATTTAATTGATATTTTTCTTTGAAATAAGCTTTGTTGGCAAATATGATTCCTCATTAGTATTATTTTGATGTTTGTTCCTTCAGTATCAAGTATGAATTTTGATTAAATGTTAATGATGAATTATTAACTCAGATGATTGATGTGAAAACTTTGTGTTTACTGCAGTTTTTTAATTTTTTGAAGAGGATATGTTTTACTGACAATTTCTTATTGATTCTTCTAGGAATGGATCGTGATTATGGTCCTGGATCTTATGGAGGTCTGACATTCAAGGATATTTATCTAAATATTCTTCTTTTGAGTGCCAGTAAAGGTGAGCATAATTTAATTATTTTCTTTTTAAACTCTTGTAGGGATGGACCGTGACTATGGACATGGATCGTATGGGGGTCAGAGATCCATGGATTCCTACCTAAACCAGTCATATGGCATGGACAATCACAGTGGTGGTGGTGGGGGTAGCAGGTAAATAACTTAATCACTTGGCCAAATAATTACACAACTATGAATCTGGATATATTATTTTTTAAGCATTGCTTAGGCTTGTTATGTTTGAATTTTGCTGTTTGGTATTGAATTTCACCTTATATGTTTAGTTGTATTAGTTAATGAGTATAAAGATTATCTCAGGATCACTAGCAAAAGACATTTCAGGAAAACCTCAGATAACATAACTTCAGTATAAAATAAATATTGTCTTTACTAGTGAACTTTTAAATTTCATTTTTTACTTCTCTTCCTTTTAACTCCTTATCAGTTAGAGTATCTTGAAAAATGTTTTAAAAATGTTGTTGGTAATATTGTGAAACTTTCTGTTGAGGTTTGAATTCAGAGTGTTGTGCTTGCTAGGCAGGTGCTATTACCACTTGAGCCATGCCTCTAGCCCTAATTTTTTCTTACTGATTTAGAAGAAATTTTTCTAAGGTGTTTGTAAGTAAAACAGCAAAATGGTCAGACTAACCAGTTTAGTAAAATTTAATTTCTAAGAAATACTTAGGATAGTTTTTTTCTTCTTCTTTTGGTTGGTTGTGGGGCATGAACTCAGGACCTGGGTGCTGACCCTGAGCTCTTTTGCTCAAGGCTGCCGCTTGAGCCACAGCACCACTTCCGGTTTTCTGATGGTTAATTAGACATGAGAATCTCACAGACTTTCCTGCCTGGGCTAGCTTTGAACCTTGAGCCTCAGAGCTCAGCCTTCTGAGTAGGATTACAAGCATGAGCCATCAGCGTCTGGCTAAGATAGATTAAAAAAAATTAATTTTAAAGTAAGTGGTGAAGCATATTGTAATAATAAAAAAAGGTTAAAAAGAGGTATAGCAAGGTTATTTACTGACAGCTACAACTTCAACCAAAAACACTTGTGCTTTTGTTTAAGAGAATTGTATTAAAGCCATGAATACTATATCTTCCACTATCATCTAGATCACATTTATATTTCACTGAAATACTGTGTGAGACTGAACCCAAGTTAAAAAATGGACTACATACTCAGGAACATTCAAAGGGGGTTTTCTTTTGAGGCACAAAACTTCCTGATGAATATAACTGAAACTAGTTAGGAGATAATTTGAAACCATTGTCCTTCTTAAACGGAAGGATCTGGATTCCTAGATGGACTTAAATGATGATTACTTTTCTTCTTTCTGTTTCAAGTATATCACTATGATTTACAGTAAAGAAAAATCAAGGAAACAGTAACTTTACTTATATGATAGTTTTGAAAAGAGGAATAATTTTTGTATGACTGCTAGGATTCAGAAGTAAATAGTACTTTTGATTTAGTGATTTGTAAATAATTGAAGGAATGTAACATTTAGATGTTTTAATATGTCAGCTAATGCCCTATTACATTGTAAATGTAATGTACATAAGCTATTTCTGTAGTTGTTATCATTCATTTCTTGTGTATTTGTGGGCTTTTATAAAACTGTTGTAAGATAACAAACAACCTTTTGTAATCCATGGTTTAGATTTCTGAGATGATTTGTTTTTCTGTTGAATCTTAAGACTGTGTGCTCCTTTTTTAGGGTAGTTTTATGTGATAATTTCCTGCTAGGGAATAGTTTTTAAGATAATTGTGGGTAATATAAAATGTATTGTTTCTGCCTTGAAAATTCATATACAGAGGGTATATATGTTGGTCACCTCTATGTTCTGTTTATCCTTCTACATTTGTTAGGTTTACTAGTCAATAAGTAAAAAGTATTTATGGTTGATTATTGTCTTTGGCTGAAGTTTGGCAGATTGTCAAATTTTATAACCTGAGATATTTCCTCAGATTTTGATTATTCTAGACTCAATGAGGGAGTTAGGTATGTAGATTATTGGGGTACAGAAGGAGTGTTCTGTGCCATCATTAGCATTCATCTATTTAGTCTTCAATTTGAGTCCCTGAGGAAAGCCAAAATATTTCAAATGCTTTGTACTTTTCAGTAACAGGGATGGAATCAAAGAAAGTTTGAATAGCTTGTGAACTTTAGCAAATGACCTTTTCTAAGACTAGGGCTGGGCTTAAATAATGACAACAAATCTCTCAATAAAACAGAAAAACTGCTAAAAAGCAGATTTCTAAACTTAAGTTTTACTAAAGTCAATTAATTAGAAACTGTCTCAGATAGCTTTCTATCTGTTCTCATATTGAACTGCCCAGCCCTAATCAAGTGTATACAAAGTAGAACTGTACAAACCAGTATGGTATAAATGAATTTTAGTTGCTAAATGTCATCTGATAATTTGTTTTTGAATTGTCTAACATTAGTAAGCTTACTTTTGTTTTTTCCCTCACTGTGCAACTTTTCCAGGTTTGGACCTTATGAGTCTTACGACTCCAGGTCTTCTCTGGGTGGGCGAGATCTGTACAGATCTGGCTATGGTTTTAATGAACCCGAACAAAGCCGCTTCGGAGGTAGTTATGGTGGTCGATTTGAGAGCTCCTACCGGAATAGCCTTGACTCTTTCGGAGGTAGAAACCAGGGCGGGTCTAGCTGGGAAGCACCTTACTCCCGTTCAAAATTGAGGCCTGGGTTTATGGAGGACAGAGGAAGAGAGAATTACTCTTCCTACAGCAGTTTTTCTTCACCCCATATGAAGCCTGCACCTGTAGGCTCTCGGGGGAGAGGAACCCCTGCTTATCCTGAAAGTACGTTTGGAAGCAGAAACTATGATGCTTTTGGAGGACCATCAACAGGCAGAGGCCGAGGCCGAGGAGTAAGTACAACAGAATCTTTTCAGATTCTTTTCACTAGTCACTCTTTTAAACCCTTTCAAGACCATTGTTTTCAACTAGAATAAACACTGTTCATCCCAGTGTATTTTAAGCAAAAGCTGAGTCTAAATATGTGTTAGGTTTACTATAAAAGTTTTTCTAGAACCTCAGAAAATAGTGGCAGTTTGAGATGATTGCTCATGAAGTTATGCCAAATCTCCCTTTATTGAAAAGGCGAGGATGTTAGGTTTGGTCTAAAAGGGGTTAAAAGGAGTTGCAATTTTCCTTGTAAACACTAGCAGCTAGCTGGTGGGACAGTTCTTGGATCACTGTAAAAGGTTAACTGAACCCTTTTTGAGTAGGTTAAAGGTGCAATGTATGATAAAATGTTTGCTACTAAACACTAGCAAGTAGAATTTCTTCAAAGCTCTGTGGTTTAGATCAGGATAGTGTAGCCATCTTTATGTGGTGAAGAAGTTGGTGTGTAGATTGTAGAACGACTTGTGATCTGTATAATTTTGTTAATTTAGTCTCTTAGGATATTGGTGGTTGTTTTATTTCTTCTCATGTCACTAGCTTTACTGTCCAGAAATAATATCCTACCTTTATAGCCATGATGGCAGCACCTTCCTAGGAAGTAGTATTTTATAAATTACTGCTTTAATGAGTAACTCTAGTCCCCTGATGTTTTAATTTCAGGGTATAAAAGATTATGCTTTATGTTCTTAGATAACTTGATAGTTGTGAAATTTTACCTAGTATATAGATTGTGGGATTATATAGTTTTTTTGCTTTAAGATTTCTTTTTGAAAGTCAGCTGTGCTTAATAATCTTATTGTAGAGGAAATAATTCTGATTAAAATGGCATAGGGCACTTGGTTTTGACTGTTCATTTAGCTTTTCATATGTCAGTATAGGTTGTCATGCTTGTGTAGAAATTTTTCATTTTTAAGTTAATCTTAGGTAAAATGCATTGCACCTTTAATTAATGAAGATCTCTTTTTGATGTGACCACATAAATTACCTGGAAATATTTATCCAAATCTAGGTTAGATAGGTGTTCCTAAGAAAAGTATACAAGTACAAGCAGCTCTGTTGCTGCTCCACCACACATACTTGATGATTGTAGGTCAATTAAAAATCACTGGACTATTAGATGTTGGGGTTAAAAATTGAAAATCGACTGCAGTTTGAAAATTTAGAAAACACTTAACATTTCCAAGCTATATATTAGCAAAGGATTGTTAGGCTTCAGATAATCAGTTTTGTTTTCATGATAATACAAGTATTCCTGTACTTTGTATTTACTTACCATTCTAGTTGGAATGGAATGTTGTTTCTATATCAATAGGGTCTTTAATTTTAATCTTCACTTGTACAATTCCCATTGGGTCCTTCTCTTCAGATTACTCCTCAGTCTACCTTCTAAAAGTGAGAATAGCGGAATGAGTTTGTATGGACATGGGCCTCTTGATGTAGTGGGTTTTGTTAATGGCAAGATGAGAGGAAGGAATACAAAGAGTCATTTGATGGCATGACTCTTCATCTGTAAACTATTGCTCTTGGGCTTCTGGTCAGAGTATGTTTCTCTAGGTAGGAATGTGAATGGAACGTCAGATGCAGTTCTTTATCTGAAGTGTATCTTGGAAGTTGATGCATGGTTATGCTTTAACTCTCCTATTTCATACTAATGTTCCATCTCGCCTTCTCATTCCGTTTTCCAACAGGGAGAAATCCTAAATGATTTCTGGAATATGTTCTTCTTTGTGTATTTTAGCTTTAAGCCAGGTATTTAGTAAAATAAAGATTTCTTTTAAGGTATTTTCATGGCATAACATCATTTAGGAACTCTGAAGAGGAGTTGTCAAAGAGTTGTACAAGTGGTAACCTTCTGACAGACACATATGGTGTTTATGACCTCAAGTAATTTTGATTGTAAAAGAAATCAAATAAGTAGGAAATATTTACATTTGCTTTGCAGATAAAAAACATTAATTCACCGGATTTGAGTTCATGTAATAATTTACAAAGTTTTAAAGTGTGCTTTTTCTGAGTGGACATGTAAAATTTAGATTACATTCCAGGGAATTTTCAGGTGAAAACTAGTACATAGGTGATAAGAAAATGCTGTATGAGTTCATATTTTGTTTTTGGATAGTATGCTAATATTTCTTGATTTCACCAAATTTACAGCATATGGGTGACTTTGGAAGCATTCATAGACCTGGCATTGTTGTTGACTATCAAAACAAGCCCACCAATGTGACAGTTGCTACTGCAAGAGGAATAAAGAGAAAAATGGTACAACCATTTAATAAGCCTGGTGGAGCCTTTATCAAGAAACCTAAGTTAGCAAAACCTATGGAGAAGATGAGCCTCAGCAAATCACCTAGTGAGTAAGAAACCACAGTTGGCTGTGGCTTAGGATATTTTTCATTTTTGATATTCATTGGTTTTAAGATAATTTTTTAGTGTTTATATGGAAGATTAACCAATAATTACAATTATTGAAATTAGATCTGTGAGTCCTCTATAGCAGCTATTAATCAATTTTATGTACTTAAATAGATCTTTAAAATTCACATAGCCAGACACCCCCCCCCCCAAAAAAAAAAAAATCCAGAAGTGGTGTTGGAACAGTGCCCAGGCCCAGAGTTCAGGCCCCAGGACCGCCCCCCCCCCCAAAAAAAAAAAAATCACATACCCTTGTCTATTCCTTTACGCTGAGTTATACGTGGTAGGACTTTCCATGTGAATTTTATTTAAGCCCCTTTCTTGGGGTAAGTGTCACAGGGTTGTCCGTCATTGTGTAGGATCTTCTTTATGACAGCAAAGGAAAGAAAATATTCCTTATCTTGGTACTAGGCAAAACTGTGTTTTTTTTTTTCTAGAAAACTAATTTGCCTTATAGATAATCATACATACTTTATATTGACAAAGTTTTCAGCCAGTCTAAACATGAAATTAAGAAATTTTCATCCATGTCAGCATCAAGAAGAACAAAATATTTGAGAAAAAATAGTAGTATAAAACACATACTCCAGGGCTGGGAATGTATCTAGCGTGCGTGAAGCCCTGGATTCAATTCCTCAGTACCACATAAAATGAAAAAGCCGGAAGTGGTGCTGTGTTTCATTTGATAGACTGCTAGCGCTGAGCAAAAGAAACGCAGGGACAGCACCCAGGCCCTGAAATAAAGCTCCAGGACTGGCAAAACAAAAACAAAAAAAACATATACTCTATAACTACAGAAAGAAAGAAAATTGAAGTTTCATTATTGAATGAAATTAAAGTTCTAGACAGGTACTAGTAGCTCACGCCTATAATCCTAGCTATTCAGGAGGCTGAGATCTAAGGAACATGGTTCAAAACCAGTCCAGGCAGGAAAAGTCTGCTAGACATTTATCTACAATTAATCACCCTAAAACTGGAAGTGGAGCTGTGGCTCTAAGTGGTAGAGGACTAGCCTTGGACTGCAAAGTTTAGGTACAGTGCCCAGGCCCTGAGTTTAAGAGCCATGACTGACTCCCCCCCCCCTAAAAAAAAAAAAAGTTCGAAATAAATAAGAAAAACTGAATTAGATTGGAAGGCAACATGTCAAGATAGATTTTTCCTAATCTAATCTAGAGATGCACTACAATTCAAAGGATGAACAAAGGCAGCAGTGGCACTCATTAGACACTATGAAGGAAGGGGTGACATTGTCCAAAGAGAAATGTACTCATGGCTGGGATGGTGGCTCAATGGTAGAGTGCTTGCCTTGCATGCATGAGGCCCTGGGTTTGATTCCTCAGCACCACATAAGCAGAAAAAGCTGGAAGTGGCGCTGTGGCTCAAGTGGTAGCCTTGAACTGAAGAGCTGAGGGACAGTGCCCAGGCCCAGAGTTCAGGCCCCATGACCAAAAAAACCAAAAAACCCAAAAAAACAAAAACAAAAAAACAAACTCATTACCTGACTTAGGAAACTGTAACCCCTCTATTTATCACTTTTATAATAACAATTAAAAATTTTCTAGCTAAACTCATTTCATGATTTCACATTTAACCAAGATGGTGGTTCTGACATAGGGTGGATGTATATTCATGTACATGTGTTTGCATATATATAATTGGAGTAGAGTTGAAAGCCCAGAAATAAACTATATTCCTGCTTAACTGGGAAAAACAGTATTCAAAAATAGTATTCAACTGGAGAGAGAATAGTCTTTTTTGACAAATGGTGCTAGAAGAGTTGGCTAGCCACATACAAATAAAATGCAAGGTTTTGCAAGAGCAAAATATATAAAACTCTTGGAAGAAGACATCAGCGAATTTTCATGATTTTGGGTTTGACAAGGAATTTTTATTATTTATTTAATTTTGTCGTTCCTGGGGCTTGAACTCTGGGCTTGGGCGCTATCTGCGTCAGCTCTTCAGCTCAAGGCGAGTGCTCTACTGCTTGAGCCACAGCGCCACTTCCTGTTTTCTAGTGGTTTATTGGAGATAAGAGTCTCATAGACTTTCCTGCCTGAGCTGGCTTTGAACTGCGATCCTCAGATCTCAGTCTCCTGAGTAGCTAGGATTACCAGCGTGAGCCACCGGTGCCCGGTTAGGAGTATAGGATTCTATTTAAGCAAAATATTCAGAATACAGAAAGCAGGTTAGTAGTTCCCAGAACTCTAGAGTAGGGATGGAAAGGGTAAGGACTGTGTAAAGTCTACTGGCGTGTACTTGCAGCAGTGAGAAAGTTCTGGAACCAGATAGTGGTGATGCTTGCATGACTTTCAGATGTATTTAAAGCCACTGAACTATATACTTTAATATGGTTAAAGTGGTATTTTATCACAATAGAAAAAGAAGAAACTTGATTTATTTTGGAGTTTATGTAATTAAAAACATTTAGCGTTTCTACAATATGTGAATTCTTAGCTTGAGGGCTACTTAGAATTTACTGTACTTTTCCATTTTCACAGTGAGTAAAATTATTTCAGTGTTTGCTAAAGTATGTGTGGTATGCATGATTTTAGGGAGTTAAAAGATATTATTAAGGTAAGGATAACATAAAATGAGAAGATTTAGAGAAAAATATGTAGCTTGAGAAGCAAATATGGCAAGATTCACAATTAGGAAATTTGCGAAGTTTCACAAATACTGTGTAGTTCTAGAAACATTGGGTAGCCTCAGGCTGAATTTTCTGGTGAGTTCAGGTTAGATTATCATCACTTAAACCCTGTATGCCTGTGCTTTAGAAACTGGTAATTGGAAAGGGAGACTGGAAAAATGCTTTTTAGTTCCAACTTTTTTCTTCTAATGTCTTAGCAAAAGCTGACCCTAAAAATGAAGAAGAAGAAAAGCGACGAATTGAGGCCCGACGAGAGAAACAAAGGCGTAGAAGAGAAAAAAACAGTGAGAAATATGGTGATGGATACAGGTTTGTGTTAATAGAGTCAAAAAATGGGCTCTCAGGAAAAAAAGGTTTTCTAAGCCAGGTACCATGACATGTGCCTGTAATTCCAGCACTCAGAGGTTCAGCTAGAGGACTGGTATTTCTTTTTTTTCCCTTCATTATTGAGATTAAGTGATTAGATAAATTTCACAGTCTTGTGGGATAGTGATACTTAGCTAAAGTCACAAACACATTTTAACTTTCACAAGTTTATTATTATTATTATGCTCTATAAAGCTTATGAACTCTATGAAGTTTGACCGTACAACTATCTTCCAAACAGGCGATGTGGACATTTCTTTTCTTTTGCTTAGTGTCAGCTGTTCCCTCTTTATGTCTCAGTCCCTCCTTCCCATCATTGCCCTTGAGTTGCTTAGTTCTCTTTCATCCATGTACAGCTGATGGGCCTCTCTGCTATATTTTTTTCACCTATTTCCTCTGATTCCATTTCCTCCTCCTAGCTTCCTTCCTATGTGTACATATATACTATATGTTTGAGATCATCTAAAAATGATGTGACAGATTAAGAAGAGGTCCTTTGTTTCTTGAGTCCTATTTACTTTGTCACATCTTGTTGCATTTTGAATTTAATGTCAGAGGATTGATATTTCAAGGCCAGACTGGGCTACATACATAGTGAGACCCTATTGTAAAATAAAAGTTTCCTAGAAAAGGTCAATACATGAATTAGAATATCTTTTTTTTTTTTTTTTGTCGGTCGTGGGGCTTGGACTCTGGCCTTGGGCGCTGTCCCTGTGCTCTTCAGCTCAAGGCAAGTGCCCTTCCGCTTGAGCCACAGTGTCACTTCCACTTTACTAGTGGTTTATTGGAGATAAGAGTCTCACAGACTTTACTGCCTAGGCTGGCTTTGAACCACGATCCTCAGATCTCAGCCTCCTGTATAGCTAGGATTACAGGTGTGAGCCATTGGCGCCTGGCTTAGAATTAGAATATCTTATAAGTTAAGTTTAAAAGGGTTGAATAAAGATGTGTAAGAAATGTTCTGATTTTTAGTATTTATATGTGACCACAACTTGGAAAAAAAATTCTATTACTACCAGTACTCTAAAAATACAAAATGCACAGAAATAATAAATTCTTGTTAAAAAAAACTTGAGGAAAACTATAATCTTGAGATCTGACTATATGACAATATAATGATAGTCTTGGGTATTATGCATAAGTTTTTTTCCAACCCAGGTCCCAAAAAGAATTCTAAATAAGATGAGTAAATGAGCAGAAACTGGCTTTTCCAGACATTAAAAATCACTAAAAGATTGTAATGAGGTTCAGTGGTAGAGCATATCACAATAAGAAAACAAAAAAGAGTAATAGATAAAAATCTGACTTTTTTTGCCTATGAGCACAAATATGTTAAAAATAGTAATAATGAAGATACTACATACAAAACAGGGTTTGGTCATACAACTAAGAAAAACAATACATAAATAAATAAACTGCGAATGTATTTTTGTTCTTTTAAATTCAGTTTGTGTAACAGAAAAAGTGAAACGTTTCACATAAAATGAATTTCCTAGGTGGCCAAAACTCTGTCTTTGAAAGATAGAATGTAGAACTGAAATTCTTGCTGGTGATCTTTTCATTTATTTTTTATTTTTTTGTTGGTCGTGGGACTTGAACTCTGGGCTTGGGTGCTGTCCCTGCGCTCTTCAGCTCAAGGCGAGCGCTCTACCACTTGAGCCACAGAGCCATTTCCGGTTTTCTAGTGATTTATTGGAGATAAGAGTCTCACAGACTTTCCTGTCCAGACTGAATTTGAACCTCGATTCTCAGATCTCAGACTCCTGAGTAGCTAGGATTACAGGTGTGAGCCACCGGTACCCGGCTGCTGGTGATCTTTTTAAAGTGTTGGTTCTTTGCTTAAACAGGAAACTTTCTGTTACTCAGTCTTGAAATATACATTAGATTTGTTCACATTAAATTTGGTCTTTGATTTTAGTCTCTTGGTATACTTGTGTAATTGTTTTATTACGTTTTCTGGTTTGTTATGCCTAATTTTCTAGGATTTAAGAGACAATAGAACTAACCACATTAGGAATTGATCCATAAGGAGAAGGTCTGGTTTTAGGAGGACTCCTGTTTTGGGTTCTTCTATTTATACTGCCCTAATTTCCCATAATTCCTTCTCCTTTTATCAGGTAATGAGCATAGTTACTAAACATTTTTTATTCAATGTGGAGAAGTCTGAAGATGATTTTGCTTTGTAAGATTAAGTTTTTGTATTATGTCATTAGTACTTTTCTCATTAAAACTGTAGATTTGAATATGATTTAAGCATGTTGGTAAAATAAATGTTGCAATTTGGAAAAAATGAAAACTGAAATTCTGTGACCTTTTGTCTTCATGACTTTAGTTACAAACCTTATCTACTGGACAGAATGTCAATGTAATTAAACATTGTCATTTTAGGATAAGAATTCTTGGAAATTATTTTAGACATTTTCTTTCTTCTCTGGTGCTGGGTTTTAAACTCAGAACTTTGAGTATACTAGGCAAGTGCTCTACCACTAAGTTATATCTCTAGCCCTGCTGTAATTATTTCAGTTTACCAGAGCAGTTTTATGTTAGGAGGATTGGAGGTGGCAAACAATGATTGTGATATGTCCTCTAATATTTGAGTGCTTTCAATGTGATTAAGAGAATGAAAAGATGACTATAGGAATTTAAGGGAGCCTGACAGGGAAGGGATGGATGTGTGAGAGGTGTACACAAACAACAGTACATGGGGAAACACTGCCAAAAGAAGCACATCCTTTTTTTTTTGTTTTTACTTAGCTCACATCAGTTATGTGGGAGTAGGGAATGGGAAAGGCTTCATTGTTACATTCCCACACATATTTACAATATATTTCAATCAATTATGAGTGGAAGCTTTTTAAGTGGGAGTAAATCTGGGATGTCTGTTAGTGGAGATGGTATTTAGCCTGTTTAGGAATTGAAGGATTGCGGGAGGAATTGTGAGTGGCAGCTTAGGTAGAATGCGTGGCTTGATATAAAAGCAGAGAGAGATGCATATTTTACTGATATTCAGAAAATGAGAAGCTTTGTAGATTAAAGTGACTGTAGTGGGTTGAAATACTATAATTTAAACAGTTTAGGAAGATATACCATGAGCAAAACACTGCTAAAGGTAAAAACAAAACAGAAAGTTGTGATTGGGGGCAGTTCCTAGATGGTTGCTGAAATCTTGTTTTGTTTTTCTGGTATCAAGGCTTGAAAATACCTTCACAATAGCTTGGCTTGCTTGCTCAAGGCTGGCTTTCTTCCACTTGAGCCATACCTCTGGTCTAGTTAATTAAAGATGGAGTATTTTGTGCATTTTTGCCTGAATTGGCTTTGAAACACCATCTTCCAGATCCTAGTCTCCTGAGTAGCTATGATTACAGGTGTAGGCTACTTGTGAGTGATGCTGAAATCATTTTGGCTTTGTTTTTTGAGCCTTTAAGTGTTAGTGAAACAGTACTGTGCTAATACTAATACCTCCTTTAGGAAGTAGTAATAATTGAGTATTTCGAGTAATATATAAGACAATTGAGGGCAGAGAAGTAAAGTGACTTGCTCTAGGTCACAAAAGGAAGTTAGGATATAAACCCAGTAATATACTCAAGAACCCATACTCTCAACAAGAAAAACATATCTAATAACATTGTAAGAAGTTATTTGGAAAATAGGAGATGGAAATCAGGAACCAGTTAGAAAACTGTCATAATTAAAGGAAAAAGAAACTAAAAACAGTAGGTGAATTCATTCTGGGTTGGCTTTGAGTTTCTAAATATGCACATTTGTTCAGTTAGGCTTATTCATTTATTAGCTATTCTGAAGTTACTGGTGGGTGGACCTTTTTCTTGTCAGTCCTGGGGCTTGAACTCATGGCCCGAGCACTGTCCCTGAGCTTCTTTCAGATCAAGGTTAGTGCTCTATCACTTAAGCCACAGTGCCACTTTTGGCTTTTTCTGAGTGTTTATTGGAGATAAAAGGCTCACTGACTTTCTTGCCTTTGAACTGTGATCCTCAGATCTCAGCCACCTTTAATTACCCCAAAATTCCATGGTAGTTGTCTGTGGTTTCTAGTGTCTTACATGAGTTTGTTGATGATACTATGGTAAACTTGAGGATGCAGGAGAGTATAAAATAAGTTGTAGAACTTTGGGGCCAGGTGTTTCTTGAGATTTACTCTCACTCTTGAATTGGCATTGTGTTTTTCATATCCAGACTGCTAAAGGTAGACCAGCAATACAAGGTGGTACAATGACTACCATGCAAATATGTGCTTAAATATTTTTTTTCTGAGTTAAGTTAAACTTAAATTAATTCAAAAAAGGAAGGAAGAAATAATTATTCTGGTAAAATTAGACTCAGTTGTATATTCTTACAAACTCTTAAGTAAATAAGGTGATACTTAAAGAAAAACTTTTTTCGTTGTAGAATGGCATTTACATGTTCATTTTGTAAATTTCGAACCTTTGAAGAAAAAGATATTGAGCTGCATCTGGAAAGTTCGTCACACAAGGAGACATTAGATCATATTCAGAAACAAACCAAATTTGATAAAATAGTTATGGACTTTTTGCATGTAAGTAACTGTTTTTCAAGTAAGAAACATCTGAATTTCTTATTTCATTTTTTATAAGTTCTTTTGTACTGTTTCAAAAAATAAATAATTAGCTTCTTATTTAAAGAAAAGTTAAAAATTAGCACAGAATTACATCTGAATTCTTCACTTGTGGAATTTGGATTTGTTATTTGAAAAATAAAGAGTTTCTGAGAAGTGTCAAAAAGAATTCCTGTAACAGCTTGTAGATTCAGCTAGCATCCATTGAGAACCCACTGTGTCTTAGATTGTACTTAGAACTTCGGTCTGTAGCAACTCATTTTTATTGTTATTAAAGGATCATTCTCAGAGCACCCCAAAGGACCTGTCAGTAAGTGGCAGCCAGAGAGACTTGGGTTTGTTTAGTGTCTTTCATATTATCAGTATGTGATTATCAATTTAGTAGATTTTCTTGAAGACAACCGACACTACTTTTAATGACCCCACAGTAATGGGAAATAGAACATATGCACAGATAAACAGATGGTACAGTTAGATGGGGATGCCAAGAATACGGAAATAAGTACTCCAGAATCTTGGGCAAGGGAAGGATATCTGGGACTGGGAATGCTAACGGAAGAGGTTTGAACTGGTCTGCTAATTGTACATAAAACTAATTTGGGCAAAGGATAGAAAACTACTAGGTTAGAATTACAATCATCTTTCAGATCTTATATACTTGCAGAATTACATTTTGATGAAAATTACTTCTTATAATTTCTTTCCTTACTGGGTTCATATGGTTGTCAGTTGTGACTTAAATACCAGTTTATGTGACTATTCAGTTCTGTGATCTTTCTCTGACTAAAATATGTTTTGGAAAGTCCAGTACTTTTTTTTTTTTGTTTCCTAGTATGTTTTTATATTTTTTCAACTAAATTATAAGTGGCTTGTGAACAGACAGCAGAGGAAGATATTTTCCTTAGGGTGAATGGTGGTGAATATATATCTGAATGCTCATTGAAAACAATTTCATTCTTTGTATTTTGTATTCCAGGAGTGTATGGTGAATAAATTCAAGAAAACATCTATTCGTAAGCAACAGACAAATAATCAAACAGAAGTTGTTAAGATAATAGAAAAAGATGTCATGGAAGGTGAGTATTTACACACATTGTTTTACAAATATATGTATGTATATACACACATGTGTGTATATCTGTATATATTATAACCTTAGGTATATTATTAACCTAGTTGTCTTAATCCCCTTTGTACTTGTGTAACATTTTGTGCTTTTTTTTGTTGTTTTGTTTTTTGGTATTTGTTTTTTGTGCTGGTACTGGGGCTCAAAGTTGGGACTTGGATGTTGTCCCTGAGGGCTTATTGCTAGCATTCTGGCACTTGAGCTACAACTCCACTTCTGGTTTTCTGTGGTTAATTGGAGATAAGAGTCTTACAGACTTCCTGCGCAGGCTAGCTTTGAACAGATCTCAGCCTCCTGAGTAGTTAGGATTATAGCCATGAGCCACCAGTGGCCAGCAGTGTGCTTTTCTTTATCAGTAGTCTTTTATTTGTATTTATTTTTGCTAGTCTTAGGGCTTGAACTCAGGGCCTAGGCACTGTCCCTGAGCTTCTTTTGCTCAAGGCTATTACTCCACTACTTGAGCCACAGTGCCACTTCTGGCTTTATTCTGTTTATGTGATACTGAGGAATCGAACCCAGGGCTTCATGTATGCTAGATCACTAAGCCAAGTTCCCAGCCCTGTATTTTTTAATTAATCAATTTTTTTTGTGGTGTTGGGGATTAATTAGATTTAGGGTCTCACAATTGCTAGGCAAGCTCTTTACCCTTGAACTTATTAGTCCTTTAGAATTTAGTATTTCCGGGCTGGGAAGGTGGCTCAGTGGTAGAGCGCTTGCCTTGCATGCATGAGGCCCTGGGTTTGATTCCTCAGCACCACATAAGCAAGAAGATAAAAGCCGGAAGTGGTGCTGTGGCTCAAGTGGTAGAGTGCTAGCCTTGAGCTGAAGAGCTGAGGGACAGCACCCAGGCCCAGAGTTCAG